TGCTTCTGGCACGCCCTGCAATCTCTCCCAAATGCCCTTCCATTCAGCACAAGCAGCAGCCTAGGCATCTGTCAGTAGATGAATGGATAAAGAACACGAGCTACATATGTACAAAGGAATATTACGCAGCCATAAAAAGAATGAAATCTTGCCTTTTGTGACAAAATGGACCTAGAGGATAGTATGCTAAGTGACAAAAGGCAGACAGAGAAAGAAAAAGACCATCAGTTTTCAGTTATATGTGAAATGTAAAAACAAGGACAAAGAAAACTAAATGGAAACAAGCTCATACATACAGAGAACAAATTGGTAGGTACCTGATGGGGGTGGGGGAGGTGGAGGCTGTAAAAGATGAAGGGAATGAAAAAGTACAATCAGCCAGTTATAAAATAAGTAACGGATGTAAAGTACAGCAGAGGGAATGTGGTCAATAATATTGGAATAATTATGTATGGTGTCACACGGGTCCTAGACTTATCATGGGAATAACTTTGTAAGGTTTGTATGTCTAATCACTCTGTTGTACACCTGAAACTAATATAATCTTTTATATCAACTATAATTTAAAAATCCATTCTAAAAATTGGAAAAATTCACATAAACTAGAGTGCTTTGAATTTCTTGGGAGATAGAGTCTCATTTAAATGGGTTCATGGCTTATACCTCTCAGTTGTTTAAGCTTCTCCTGGGCAACATCAGTGAGGAAGACCTGCATATTTAGGCTTACTTGGAGGCTGTGTGACTTTAGAGCCAACACATTCCTTTGCTCAGCCTCTCTTCATCTGTGAAGTGGGCATTATATAATATGGAAATAGGAACAAACATTGGAGCACATACAATAGTCATGCGTGGCTATATATTTTTTTCTTTTTAAATTTATTTTATTTTATTTTATTGCCATGTGTGGCTATTTAAATGAAAATTAATTTATTTAAAGTTTTATAAGTTTTGATTTGAGCCAAATTGACAACAGATGCCGAAGAGAAAGATCTCAAATGCTCCCTAAATTTAAATTGATTAAAGTTAAATGAAAAGAAAATTAACTTCCTCATTTGTACTAACCCCATTTTAAGTGCTTGTCCAACACCCATATAGAATAACTCCATCATCACAGAGAATTCTAAGAGAGATGGTCAACATACACCACACACACACACACACACAGACTCACATGTGCGTGCATCACATCACACACACATCACAGGAAAGGAGGTAACAAATGCAGTGTAGAAAACTAAAATAGAGTGATGAGGAAGGTCTGAGGTGACATTTAAGCAGAGATCAGAATGAAAAGGGGAAATCTGGAAATGATGAGCTAAAGGAATGGGGATCTAGGCAGAGACACCACCAGCAAGAAGGTACTAGAGTAGGGATACATTTGAAAGAACCACGAGTGACTGGAACCCCATGGACAGGGGAGAGATAGAAAAATATGAGAGTTGGGCAGAGGTTAGATCACTGGGCCTTTGTATCTAGGTTAGGAGTTAGATTTTTTTTTGAAAGAGTCATGAGAGGCTTGTAAGTGGGGGAGTGTCATTTGCCCTTTATGTCCTTCCGCACAATTTTGTTAGTTAAATGCTTATTTTACCTGTATCTCTGCTTGATAGAATAATCCTGGACTTTTTTTTTTTTTTTTTAAATATATATTTTATTGATTTTTCACAGAGAGGAAGGGAGAGGGATAGAGAGTTAGAAACATCGATGAGAGAGAAACATCGATCAGCTGCCTCCCGCACATCTCCCACTGGGGATGTGCCTGCAACCCAGGTACATGCCCTTGACCGGAATCGAACCCGGGACCTTTCAGTCCGCAGGCCGACGCTCTATCCACTGAGCCAAACCGGTTTTGGCAATCCTGGACTTTTTTATCCTTAGTATACTTGTTAGCCTCACTATAATAGTAAAAACTATTTAATTAAATTAGAAAATCCTTATCACTGACCTATTGGGATTTGGCAGAGTTTCAGCGTATAACAAAAACTAGTCAAAATCTTTTTATTTTATTTTATTGATATTGAGAGAGGAAGGGGGAGAAAAAAGAAATAGAGAGAAAGAGAAGCATCGATGTGAGAGAGAACATTGATCAGTAGCCTCCAAAACACATGCCCAGACTGGGTATCAAATCTGTAATCTGGATACATCCTGCCCTGGAACAGAACCCTACACCTTTTGGTGCACAGGTTGTTGCTCCAACCAACTGAGCCACATGGGCCAGGGCTGGTCATAAAATCTTTTGCCTCCCAAATAATAAGGCATGACCTGTCTGTATGTGAAGCATTTCAGAATATGTCTCCTAACCTTTGGTGGTAGTTGAGGTAGGGTCAGTAGTGTCCACTGTAAGTATATAAAGACAAAGCATAAAGGGAAAGCAAATATCTAGGCTGATATAATCTTTCCAAACCTCAGCTTCTTCCTCCAAGGATGGGTTAATAACAGCACCTGCCTAAGGGTGAAAGTAAAATGCACAGAGCCTATGACACAGTAAATTCTCCAGAAATGGAGGCTGTAGTATTCATGCATATTTAGGTTTAGTTCTGAGTTTGATCATTACAACAATCCTTTAAGGGAGATAGAACAAGTGTTTTTGGTCCCATTTAAGGAATGAGGAAATCAAGGCTTGGCTCAACTTAGTAACTCACAGATACCCAGGTTCCTAAGTGGCAGAGCTGGGATCTGAACCCAAGTGTGGAGGAAACTCTTTCTTGATGTAACTGCTGTCTGTCCCACAAGCTGGACTTCGCCTGGATCAGAGGTTGCTTTTCACAACCCCCCATTAGAGACTGTCTGATGACAATTGATATATGCCTAAGTCAGTGGTCGGCAAACTCATTAGTCAACAGAGCCAAATATCAACAGTACTTCTTCAAAATAGACTTGCCCAGGCCGAAAATTGACTTCTGCGCATGGGCCACGAAGTTTCAATCACACTGTACACGCGCCCGCATGTGGTATTTTGTGGAAGAGCCACACTCAAGGGGCCAAAGAGTCGCATGTGGCTCGGGAGCTGTAGTTTGCCGACCACAGGCCTAAGTGACCATTAGGACCAGTAGAATGAATGGTCAACCGGTCACTATGATGTGCACTGACCACCAGGGGACAGACGCTCAACACAGGAGCTGCCCCCTGGTGGTCAGTGTGCTCCCACAGCCAACCTCCCTCAGTCCCTTCCCCTGCCTGCTGGCCCCAATGGCCCCATTGGGACTGGGCAAGACAGCCCGATCGCCCCGATTGCTGGCCAGGCTGAAGGACCCCACCCAAGCACTAATTCATGCACCGGGCCTCTAGTTCTAACATAAATCAGCACCCCTTCCTTGCTTGCTCCTATGTTCTGGTCCCTCGTATAGGCCCATTGTCCTGATCTGGTTAAGCATTCTAAAATTAGAATAGCTTTAATTAAGTGAATTTATTATTTTAATTGATTTTTAATTTTTGTTATTGATGTGAGAGAGGGGGGAGAGAGAGAGGAGAGAGAAATATCAATTTGTTGTTCAACTTATTTATTATTTATGCATTCATTGGTTGATTCTTTTATGGAACTCACAACCTGGCCTATCAAGATGATGCTCTAATCAACTGAGCTATCTGGCCAGGGTTTATTTGATGGATTTCAAATATCAAAAGTAAACTGATACAGCCAGTTTGGTGTGGCCCAGTGGTTGAGTGCTGTTCTATGAACCAGGTCTCGGTTCTATTCCAAGTCAGGGCACATGCCTGGGTTGTGGGCTCAATCTCCAATAGGTGTCAAGCAGCAGTTAGCCAGTCAATATTCCCTCTCATAAACAATGTTTTTTGTCTTTCTTTCCCTCTCCCTTCCTCTCTGAAATCAATAAAAATATATTTTAAAAAAATAAACTGATACAAAATCAGAATTTTGTTCTTTGTGTTAAAATAAAGGTATAGAAAACAAAGGACACAGCAATAAGCCCTAAACTTGCCATGGTCCAAGGAGTTATGATGAGGACACCAAGCCGTTTTCCCCTGGAACAGGGACCATTTAGTAGACTCTACAATGGGATTTTCCACCAGGATAGGTCTTCACATCCCTGCGTGGGGAGGAACTGCTTAGCCTCTGTTGGGACCCTGTCATTCTAATGCAGTTGAGACCCATCCATTGAAAGGGGAGAATGGGTCCTCTTCTGGCATATTTCTTCTCCTATCCCCTTCCATACCCCAGAGAGCACAACTTCCTGCTGGACAACCTGTGGTTTACACAGCCTGGCTAGGCTGCAGGTGTAATTCTCAAAGAAGGAGATCTCTCAGTTCAAGTTCCTAGTAAATTTTTGTCTTTCTGACCCCAGAATTCTGTTGTGGTATCCAGTTATGGGGAGTGTGTGTGTGTGTGTGGGGGGGGGGGGGGGTGCGGGGGTATTCATTATCCAAACCAAATGCTGTGGTTTTATACGCGATGCATCTTATAATATTTCTTTTTTTTGATAGTACATATGAAAAGTCAAGTAAATAAATGATCTGGCCACAGCCTAGGTGACCTACTACCCATAGGTTTAGGGCCTAGGAGGCATGAAGAAAAACTTTGTTATTAATACTTGGGCTGCTTCTTTTAATTTGTCTCTTTCCTCGTATGTGTCTGCACTGTTACTGAGAACTGGGTCTTCAATGCAGTCAATTAGCAATAAGTGAGCTACCTCCCTGCCACTGAAGTCGCTGCTGACCTGTAGGTCACCTTGCAGAAGGGAGGAGGCATGGGAGTGTAAGAGCCGGTCATGAGGGGTGAAGTGTGAGGAGAGACTGTTCTATGACGTGACTTCTGTTTGTCCCACAAGCTAGTTCAGACCAGAATGGAGGCTGCTTTCCACAACCCTCCCCTTTGATTGTCTGATCATAATCGATATTCATTCTGACATTAATCGGTATCATGCTTTGCCTCCTGCTCTGCACCAGTTCTTGGAGCAGGCCTTTGTCCTTTCCTTGTCAAGCATGTAAAGCAATTTCCAATACCTGGTAGCATTCATGAATAGTATCTGTGACTGTCCCTTTACTCTATATAATTCTTTGTTCCCTGCGAAGAAGTGTGGGCGTCCATTTGGTCTTGCGGTCACCAGAGAAGCTTGCATGTGAATTTTTTTGGCTAAACTGTTAGTTGCCAGATTAGAGTGGCTGCTTCTTTTGCCAGCCTCTCTCTGCCCCCCATTTATGACGGTAGACTTTCAGTTTTGGGGCTTTTCTCTGAGTCTGTGTCTATGAGCACTAGGCCTGGTCCACATTCTGCTTTCTGTAGTATTCTCCTGATATCATTCGATAAATGCAATCTGAGTCGTTGCTTCCTGTAGCATGAGTGATGAAACACAGTGATTCACATCCTGACTTAATCCTTGTTAATAGATAACTTGGCAATATAATTGAGGCTAGGGACTAGCCATTGTGGCCACAAGGCAAGAAGTACCCTCTACTCACCAAAGGGCCAGTAGACGATCATCTCAGAGCCCAAGGGCAAGTGCATCAGGACCATTGATGGACTGGTCTTTGCTCTGGTGTCCCCCCACTGAGCCTGGCTCTCGTTTCCTTCCTGTTTCCTCCCTAATCTCTCTGAGCATCGGGAGTCAGTGTGGACTTTACACGTGGAAAAGGAGCTGGGAAATAAGGGGCTACTTCCAAGGGCAGCTTTGACTGTCTGTTGGAGGTACAGAGCTCTCAGCCACCCTGAGCTAACAGAGACCTGAAGCCATTGTATGTGGTCTCCCATCCATAGCAGGGTAGGCTCATGTGATGCATGCAGTTAAGTACAAGGAAAAGTTGCAATCTGAGAATTAAGATGTGTCCCCATACCATCTGGTGGGGGCACACCAAACAGTCCGTTTCTCTTTCCTTTAGGCAGATACCGTCATGCCTCCTTGGGTAGCCTTCCCCAGCCTCATACTACTTTGGGCAGGTAAGTGATAGGTGGGCTGGGGTTTGGAAGGCCTGGGCATGGGGCAGTGTAGGTTGTCTGTGGGTGTGGTGGAGGAAGGTGGATGTGCTTGGACTCTGTTGGAAGGTAATGGGTCAACTAGTGAGCAAAGAACCAGGCTGAAACAAAAAAATTTCTTAAATGGTATGAATCACAAAATCTAAGGCTAAGTAGAACACTTACATGTTGCCATTTCTATTTAAGAAAAAAGGGGGTGGTGGGTAGTTGGGTATACATGGACTTTTTACATGGATGTAAGAAATAGTACCAGCTTTTTCCTGGTGTAGGAGGGGATGAAAAGAAGAGATGGTGCCAGAATGGAAAGAGACATTTTGTTTGTTTTTCATTGTACATTTTGTGTGTGTTTTTAACTATGTGCAAATATTGTTTTTAAAAATAAGATATGTCATGGCCAGTATGGCTCAGTTGGTTGGGCATCTCCCCGTGCACCATAAGGTCTTGGTTCAATTCCCAGTCAGGGCACATGCCCAGGGTTTCTGACTGGATCTCAGGTAGGGGGCATGCAGGAGGCAGTTTATCACTGTCTTGCTATCACATCAATGTTTCTCTCTCTCCCTCTCCCTACTTCTTTCTCTAAAAATCAATAAAATATTTTAAAAAATAAAAATAATATATAGAGTATTCTATATATATATATAGGGTTATTAATGCCATTACCACAGGAGAGAGTTTTTGTTTTTAAGCGGCTTAACTTAGTAGTTGATTGAATGTTCTCCAATTCTCTGGGTTCACCATGGGAAGTGGGCCTCGCTCAAGTGCCATGCTCATCTCTCTCTCTCTCTCTCTCTCTATATATATATATATATATATACACACTTTAACAGCCAGTAGCTCAATTTTGAAAATATATTTAAATAAATACCGCCTTTATAATTATTCAGTGTGTGTATACACTTTTTGGGACACCCTATCTCTTAATTCAAAACATTCTATGAGATAGAGAAAATTTTAGGAATAGACACAACCTAAATTTAAAAATAATAATCATCAGATGTGATGTGATTATGGGGAAAAGTTCATTTAAATTATACTTCCATACTAGATTTTTAAGTTAGCATGCTTTATTTGTAATCTACAAATGATATTAGGCAAAATTAAATATTATAGGAATCCAGAGAAAAAATAGACTCTTACTTTACATAACAATCTATTTTATTCTCAGAGCATTTTGAGACTCATAGCCCAGTCTTAACATGGCACTTGAGCAAGGACTGATTAGTTGGGGTATGTAAGTACCACATAGAGAATATAGTCAATAATATTTTAATAACTATGAATGGTGTCAAATAGGTACTAGACTTATTGGGATGATCACTTCATAAGTTATATAAATGTCTAATCACTATTCTTACACCTTCAACTAATATAACATTGTATATCAATTGTAATTTAAAAATAAAAAACTTAAGTAAATACGTAAGATTAGTTGGTACATCTCAGATTTCATTTAAGGATCAACTTGACTGCATTTGACAATATAGGGTTTTAAAAATATGTATATTTTTATTGATTTCAGAGAGAGGAAGGGAGTACATCAATGATTAGAGAGGATCATTGATAGGATGCCTCCTGCATGCCCCCTCCTGGCGATTGAGCCTGCAACCAGGGCTTGGGTCCTGACATGGAATTGACCCTTGCCCTCCTGGTTCATAGACTGATGCTTAACCACTGAGCCATACCAGGCGGGTGAAATTATGGGGTTATTAATGCCATTACCACAGGAGAGAGTTTTTGTTTTTAAGCGGCTTAACTTAGTAGTTGATTGAATGTTCTCCAATTCTCTGGGTTCACCATGGGAAGTGGGCCTCGCTCAAGTGCCATGCTCATCTACTCATAAGAATGACTTCTACTTGGATTTTTTTGGACATGATCTCTCTAACATCAATAAAGTATATTTTCAAAAAACCCCATTATTGTTCAATGCAATCAAGTTGGTCCTTAAATGAAATCTGATGAACAAAATAGATCCAGAAACATAGAAGCATAGAACAGACTGTGGAATCTCAGAGGGGGAGGGTAGGTGGATGGGAAGAGAGCAACCAAAGAACTTGTATGCATATATGCATAACCCATGGACACAAACAATAAGATGGTGAAGGTCTGAGGTGGGGGCAAGGGGGAGGGGAAAGGGGACATATGTAATACTTTCAACAATAAAGATTTAATTAAAAATATGTTTTTATTGATTATTTTAGAGAGAGAAGGGAGAGGAAGAGAGAGAGATAGAAGCATCAATGAGAGAGAAACATCAATCTGCTGCCTCCTGCAAGCTCCTACTGGGGAATGAACCCTCAACCCATATAGGGTGACCTCTTGGTGCATGGGACAATACTCAACCAACTGAGCCACAGCAGCCAGAGCCCCAACAATAATTTAAAGAAAACATTAGCTCTGCTTATTTTTATGAGAGATGGGTAATGAGGTGACTTCATTTGGAATAGACATTTTTAAAATTGCAATAAAAATTAAAACTTAATTGCAATGGCATTTTCAAATGTATTTCATTGAGACAGTAATTGGATTTAGGGAAGGGGAAAAGCAACATGTATACATTACTTATTTAATAATCAAATACCTGTAAATGCAGAATGAAATACATTCTCATGTATTGATAGAGTGTCATTTGGTTCAAATATTTTGGAAAGAAATTTGAAAAAAGTAATTCTGCTCTTCGTTCTGATAATTTCTATTTTAGAAATTTATCCTATCAGGAAACAATCCTAAATAAAGAAATAAGTTTAATAGCCCTAGCCGGTTTGGCTCATTGGTAGAGCGAGGCCCATGGACTGAAGGGTCCAAGATTCAATTCTGGTCAAGGTTATGTACCTCAGGTGCAGGCTACAACCTGGACCTGGTCAGGGCTCATGCGGGAGGCAACCAGTTGAACCAGTTGATGTGTCTATCTCACATTGATGTTTCTCTGTGTCTCTCCCCATCCCTTCCATGTTCTCTAAAAATCCACGAAAAAGTATCCTAGGGTAAGGACTAACAAAAAATAGAAATAAGTTTAAATTATTTGTTGTTTACAACTATCAAAAAACCAAAATGCTGATAAAGATGTAAAGAAAAAAGTGATAAAAATTTTTAGATTTAAGATTAAAGTCACATGATTACAAATGAAATAAACCATATCAAGAGAAGTAAGTGGGCATAAATGTAAAATTAAAATATTGAGGCCTCAGACTCTATTTTCTTTTTATTTGCAGATGCTGTAGTTTCTGTGTCATATGTGACTGGAGTGGTGGGTCAGTCTGTCACGCTACCCTGTATCTTTTCAACAGCTCATGAAATCTCACCCATGTGCTGGGGTCGAAGGGCATGTCCTTCATTCAGTTGCTCAAATGAACTCATAATGACCGATGGCTACCATGTTACCTTTGAGAAGGACAAACGTTATAGGATGAATGGAATCATTTCCAGAGGGAATTTGTCTCTAACCATACAGAATGCAGCCCTGTCTGACACTGGCACCTATTGTTGCCGTATTGAGTTCAAAGGGTGGTTTAATGGTTATAAAAAGAATATATTTTTGGAGATAAAGCCAGGTGAGTTTATCTTCATTTGCTCACTTCATGTGCATGAACTGAGATGTTTACTGTTTGGTAGTGATATTCTCTTCCTTTAAGAAAGAAAGAGGAGGTTCCTACAATCCTGTTTTTTAATAACTTTGGGGAAATAGAATTACTTACGTGTGTAGAATGAAGTGTTAAATAACCTAGAGCAGCCGTGGGCAAACTATGGCCCGCGGGCCGGATCCGGCCCGTTTGAAATGAATAAAACAAACAAAAAAAAAAGACCGTACCCTTTTATGTAATGATGTTTACTTTGAATTTATATTAGTTCACACAAACACTCCATCCATGCTTTTGTTCCGGCCCTCCGGTCCAGTTTAAGAACCCATTGTGGCCCTCGAGTCAAAAAGTTTGCCCACCCCTGACCTAGAGTCAAGAGTGTAGACTAGAGGGCCTTCCCAGTCTGCAGTGCTTCAAAAATGCTGGATAGTTCATGAAGAGGCATTCATGGCTCCATAGGGAGATGAGGTGAATATTTTTCTCAAACTAAAATTATTCAATGTAAACAACTACACTTTTTCTCTGAGTTGATGTCACTGAAAATTTATAAAATGACCTTTCTTTCTCTTTTTAATATATTTTATTGATTTTTTTTACAGAGAAGAAGGGAGAGGGATAGAGAGCCAGAAACATCGATGAGAGAGAAACATCGATCAGCTGCCTCCTGCACACTCCCTACTGGGGATGTGCCCGCAACCAAGGTACATGCCCTTGACCGGAATCGAACCTGGGACCCTTCAGTCCGCAGGCCGACGCTCTATCCACTGAGCCAAACCGGTTCGGCCTGTCTGAATTTTTAAATGTGATATGTAATGGAATAAGTAGGAAACTTTACAGTCCTCCCAATCCTTTGATAGATATTTGAGCCTCCAATAACCAAGTCTTTGCTTAAGTTTTCTTTCATTTTTCACAGGCTCAGCTTACTCCTCACCTTTCTGTTAGAGCTTTCCTCACCTGCATCTACACTTATATCTTCCTAGCTTCTTCCTGGGGAAGATATTTTCTACTGATGAGGACAAGTTTATTACTAGATCTGTCTTGGTTTCCTCTTCTTTATTGTTCATTGTGCTCCTTTGATCAGATTTTTTGCATGCTTACTTTTTTCTCTATATTAGGTATTAGGTTTTTAAATGAAGGGAAAGGATTAGTCTGTATACTTCTTAAAAGCCTCTGACAGTAGCTTAGATCAGGGTCAGCCAACATTATAGCCTAGGGCCATATCACATTCAAAACAGGCCCAGCATTTTTTTTTTTTATAGATAAGCTTTATTGGAACAGCTATACTCACTCCTTGTACTAGCTGGACTGTGGCTGCTTTCACACTGACAGAGCTGGGCTGCTGACAATGAGGCCATAGGAAAGCCTAACACATTTACTGTCTGGCCCTTTACAGGAAGTTTGCTGACCTCTGCTTAAGACTAATGCCTTGCATATAATAGATACAAAAATTTTTTGAAAAAGAGTTTAGTCTGTTCAAGGCACAGATGGGCTTAATTCCAAATGAGACTGATTCTTTAAAAGGAAGAGCGTTCAAACCAATTGTCTGCTCTTAAAGGGTTTCTTTTATTGTGAGTAGAGTTGCGTTTGAAGGAAGCTATATATATAAAGGTACCTGTTAAGCAAAATGTACACATTCTTGAATCAAGCCTTCATTGATCTGCATTTTTGCCAGGCACTGGGTTTGAGCTTAATTCTAATGTCAGCACTCTCTGGGTAGCTCTGAGACCTTCCATAAGTGGTTTGGAATCCAACACCCTATCTGACCCTGGAAAGAGACAAAGATACTACCTGTCGTCTAGTCCACCTTCCAGCCAGTATATAAAGTGTCTGTGTGATCTTATCTATGCTAGTGGGTGTGAGTTAGTCCTCATTTAGGGTGCAGGTCTCTTCAGAGGGTATCCTCAAGACTGAAATGAATGCTATGTGTTAATTAAAATATTTTTAACTTTCTGGGCCTAAGAACTATTTTTAAATTTAGTCATTCACCACTGAGAGGACAAAGATAGGTCCAGGCTCTAGACATTTTCCCTGCCTCCCCGATATTTACAAAGACATAAATCTGATTTGCGTGGTTTGTCTTCTCAGAGTGCTTCAGTGTTAATCCTGGATATCCTTTATCCCCTCTGAACCTCCTCGTATATATTCTTGCAATACAGCTATCTCTATTTTCTTTGGCTTTTCTTCAAGCCCTCCCCTGTAAGGATCTCATTAACCAAGGACAGGAGGTCATAGTTCAGGGCAAATTAGTGCCCAGCTTCGCTTGAGGATAGTTTCTCATTGGTTGTCTTGATGTACAGGCCCAGCACAAAGCTCTTGTTCCCTGCTGCTTGATTAACCCTTGCTTTCATGTTGATTTCTAGCTCCACCTAAGGTCACCAGTGTTCCAACACCATCTAAGGTCTTCACTTCTGCTCCTACAACTCCAGCACCAACACTGAACCATAAGACAGGTAAAATGATATGTTTCTGAGGCTTTAAGCCTTCTAATGAGTGGATAAAGGCCACCAGAGTATGTGTTAAGGCAGAGTTACCATCTATGCTAAAGGTTTTTCCCTGGGTTCCATAGGGCCTCGTGTGATCTGTGAAACCTTGTCCTATATTACATGCATCTAATAGGTATCTTCAGAGTGAAGGGACTAATTAAAAAAAAAAGAAAGATTCTCAAAGCCTTTCATCATTATCCAAAAAACCAAGACCTATGATATTGGACAACGAATGATGTGGATTTGGTGCAGTTGGCACTGGTTTATGAGTAAAATCTATGTAATTCTAGAGAAGAAGGGAAATCTGAGTGGAATTCCTTTAGTCCTCTCTGAAGTTGGACCCTTCATACAAGGATAACAAGCCCACCACTAGTTTTACCTGTAATATTTTACTGAAAGAACCATTTCTAATCATTGTACCATCAGGTAGGTCTATGGCTGCTTTCACAATGACAGAGTTGAACAACAGCCAGACTACAGCCGCCAAACCCTAACACTTTCATCTGGCTACTTACTAAAGATTTGCTGACCTGTGCTTTAGACTAATGCCTTGCATGTAATAGACACTAAAAAATATTTGTTGATTTATGTTTTTTGCACATCATAGCAAAAATTGGCTTGATTCCAAATTCAACTGTATCTCTCCAAAGAAGAGCTTTTAAACCATTGGCCTCCTGTGCAAAGGTTCTCTTTTTTTCTAGTTATTCAAATTGATATTCAAGGAAGATTCTTGCGGAATACAAAGGTGCCTGGTGAGGAAAAAGTACACATTGTAGATCAGGCATTCATTGATGGCCTTTTGTGCCAGGCACTGTGTTTGTGCTTAATTCCACTGCCATCTCTCTCTCTGGGTAGCTCTGAGACCTTCTGTAACTGATTTGAAATCCTAAATCTGCTATGTCATGGAAAGAGCCCAAGTTATTACCTTTTTCATCTCTTAGTTGTGAAGGAATCATTGGTGGTCTAATTCACCTTTCAACCAAGTGTATAATGTATACATGGTCTGTGTGATCTAGCATATACTTGTGGTGTGAGTTAATTTAGGTGCCGGACTCCTGGGAGGGTATCCTCAGGACTGACTGAAATGAATGAAATTTATTGGGTAAACATTCTGGGCCTGGAACTACTGTTTAAATCTTAGTCATTCACCACAGAGAGGACAAAGTCAGTTCTTGGCCCTGGACACTTTCCCCACCTCACCAATGTGTAGAAGGATATGTAAATCTGATATGCATGGCTGGTGTCTTCCAAGTGCTTCCGTGCATAATCTGAGCAACCTTTTTCACATCTGAAGCTCCTGGAATCTATACTTTTCAATGCAGCTGTTTCTTTTTTGAAGGCTGGTCCTCAATCCCAGCCCGGTCAGATTCTAGTAGACTAAGGACAAGGACTCTGAGCTCAGGGGAGATTAGTGCCCAGTTCTGCAGGGGACAGTCTCTCATTGGATGTGTGTGTGTGCAGGCCCAGCACAAAGCTCTCATTCTCTGCTGCTTGATTAATCCTTGCTTTCATGTTGATTTCTAGCTCCACCTAAGGTCACCATGGGCCCAACATCACCTATGGTCTCCATGTCTGCTTCTACAAAGCCAGCAGGAGGGCAGCAGAAATTCAAGACAGGTAAACTGATGTGTTTTCTAGCCCTAGGCCCTCCAATGAGAGGATGTAGACAGCCGAGGGCATGTGCTAAGGCAGAGTTACAATTCTAGGGTATGAATTCTTTCTTGGTTTCTAAACATGGACTTCACAGTATCTTTGAATCTCTGTTCCGTGTGTGTGTGTGTGTGTGTGTGTGTGTGTGCGCGCGCGCGTGTGTTACCTCTAAGTACTTTTAGAGTGAGGGAACCTTTTTTTATTTTTAACAAATGAGATTCTCAAAGGGGTTTTTAATTATCCCCAAATCTCAGACATCTTGGACATCTAATGCAGATGGTGAGGATTTGGCCTAGTGGAGCACAGGTTTATGAGGAAAGTCTAGGTTATGCCAGGAAGTAGGGAAAAGCTAATGAGAGTCTGCCCTCATGTTCTAGACATTTTCTCCACCTCACACATGTTTTTGAAGATACATACATCTGATATGCATGGTCTTCAGAGTGCTTCAGTGTAAATTACAGGTTTCCTTTTCACCTGTAAAACCCCTGGGAAATACACTTTCTCATACAGCTGATTTCTTTTTTCCAGTGTGACTTCAAGCCCTCCCCTGTCAGAGTCTATTTGAGCGAGGACAGGAACTCTGAGCTCAGGGGAGATTAGTGCCCAATTCTGGAGGTGGATGTTCTGGAGGGGGACACAGTCTCTCACTGGTTTTGTTGATGTCCATGCCCAGCACAAAGCTCTTGTTTTTTTTTTTTTCCTGCTGGGTTTATACTTGCTTTCATGTGGATTTCTAGCTGCACCTGAGCCCACCAGGGTCCCAAGATCACCTGGGGTCTCCAACTCTGCTACAGCACCAGTTCGCCTGCAGAACATCCCAAGAAAGAAAGTGATGTGTTTTTGAGCCCAGAGGCCTTGCAATGAGAAAAGATAGACCACCCAGGCTATTATCATAAGGTGGAAGTATAATCTAGGATTAATGTTCTTCCCTGGGTTAGAAATTTAAGCTTTATAGTAGCTGACAATCCTCATTCCAGATTTGTTGTTTCCTTTGTAACTGTAAGTATTTTCAGTGAAGGGACCATAGTTTTTTTAAAATCAGATTCTCCAGGGGATTAATTATTAGCCCACAAGTCCCCAGACCATTTCTCTTTGACATCTAATGAGAATGGTGTGGACTTGGCTCAGTTGAGCACAGGTCCCAGGGAGCTTGAAGTGGAGATCCTTTATCCACTGTGAAGTCAGAGCCTCATCTGGAAGGTAAGGCTTCATCAAGATGATCATTTCCTCTGTCTCCTGTGTGACAGGATTCATTCTAAGTTTTTTCCTTTACAAATTTTAATTTACTTAGTATTTTAAATTACAGTTGATATACGATATATTAGTTTTGGGTGTACAACCCCATGATTAGATGTTTATATAAGTAACAAAGTGATCACCCTGATAAATTGAGAATCCATGTGACACCATATATAGTTATTACAGTATTACTGACTATATTCCCTGTGCTGTAGTTTACATCCCCGTGACTATTCTTGAAACTACCAATTTGTACTTCTAAATCCCTCGATCTTTTTCACCCATGAACCTAACCCATTTCCCATCTGCTAAGTTCTTTACAAGTATTATATTATTTGATTCTTATGCCAGCTCTACCCATTGTAGGTGTGATTCAATTCTGTTTTATATTTGTGTAAACCTAGGCACAGAGTCTAATTTCATTGTTGAAAGGCATATGGATAGAAAGTGGTTGAGTCAGGATTCAGTCTCCATTAGTTTGCATTTGGGACTGTGGGTATAACTACTGGATGGTGTTTCTCCATGAGGCCTGAAGTTATATTAGGATGATTTTGTCCTGATCTGACATCTTCACAGAAAAAGCCCTTTATATAATTATCCTGTCTTTTTATGTCACTCAGTGATAGTTTTGCTTCTAGCATTCTTTACTTTAGTATGTAGCATAAAAATTGAAAAAAAAATGCTGTTTATACTGATGACAAAGTAAATATGTGATTTAAGGATTTCAGGAATTTAGAATGTATGGCTTATTTCAATTCAGGCTACGTGCTTCACACCTCAAGTTTCGGATAGTTAAGTGTTTAATTGTAATACAAATAGAGAATAATTTGACATGAGTCAAGAAATAGCTTGGCCTCCTGTGGACTACTTTAGATTCAAACTTCTATTTTTAAGATTAAAAAGAAAACCTTTAGTGAAGATTCTCAAAACCTTCAAAACTTTTTGACTCCTTGAGGTTGTCTGGATTCTGAAGAGTAACAGAAATGTCTCAACCTCTTAGCCAGAGAAATCTGATGGAACATTGATTTTTCCTTAACTCCTATTGAGTCTTGTGTATATTTAGCCATAAGGGATCTGAAGCATTTGTGCTATAAGCTGAGTATGGAGGAGAGGGCATTAGGTTAAAACTCGGATTTTAGAGCCTTAAATGTATGTAAGAAAAATAGCTTTCTTCCAGGCAGCTGAACATACTAGAGAATCTGTTGACTCTATTCTTTATTTTTTTTAAAAAATATATTTTATTGATTTTTTACAGCGAGGAAGGGAGAGGGATAGACTAGAGAGTTAGAAACATCGATGAGAGAGGAACATCAGCTGCCTCCTGCACACCCCCCCACTGGGGATATGCCCGCAACCAAGGTACATGCCCTTGACTGGAATCAAACCCGGGACCCTTCGGTCCGCAGTGCAATGCTCTATCCACTGAGCCAAACGGTCAGGGCTGACTCTCTTCTTTTAAATATATATATTTTTTATTGATTTCAGAGATGAAGAGAGAGATAGAGATAAATAGATAGATAGATAGGTAGATAGGTAAACATCAATGATGAGAGAATCATCAATCAGCTGCCTCTTGCAGGCCCCATACTGGAGATCAAGCCCACAACTGGGGTATGGTACCTTGATGGGGAATGGAACCATGACCTTCTGGTTCATAGGGCAATACTCAACCACTGAGCATACAGGCTGGGTGTGTTGATTTTCTTAATATTGATTTAGCTTCTATATACTTAGTTTCACATAGTGTGTGTCTGTAAAAGTGTGTGGATTAGTCATCTTGGTTTAGTGAACATACATAAGTTTTTGACTTCATTTAAAGTAGAAATTCAGAAGAAAAGATCTGTGTGACCTCCTAGGGAATCCTTTCTAATAAAAGGGTAATATGCAAATTAACTGTCACTCTGTCACAAAGTTGGTGGTGCCCATAGCCACAAGATGGTGGTGCCCAGTCCTCTCAGCCCCACGGGGAGTCACCCAGTGGAGGGGGGCAGGCAAGGAGGCAGCCACTGAGAGCGGGCAGCGTGAGCAGCCTGGTGGAATGCTTGCTTCCTCGCTGCTGCGACGAGGCAAGTGTTCTGCGCCCGGCCTCTGATGGGCCTCTGGCCAGGCCGGGTCATGGAACACTTGCATAAGAAGAGAAGGAACCAGCGAGCTGAGCAGAGTCGAGTGGCCCCTGACTCCCGGGCAAGGTCAAGTCCGGGCAGCCAGAGGGTGGAGGGGGTGGAGGATAGTGTGACAGGAGGTGCTGGTGGTGGAGGCACAGGGGTGAAAGCCAGCCAAGAAAGAGGAAGGAAGTCCTTTATCAATGTTCCTGAGAACAGGGAGGGAAGTCATTTGCATTTCCCAGCCATGGATGGGCCTCTGGCCAGGCCTAGGAGCAGAACGCTTGCGTTGCCCTGGCAACGAGGCAAGCATTCCATGCCTGGCTCTGGATGGGCCTCTGGGCCACGAAGAGCCTCTGAGCAGCGGGCATGGAGCAGCCAGGCCCCACAAAGAGCTACTGGTTCACGGATTTGTGCGCAGGGCTACTAGTATTAATTGATTATTCATTGAATTGAGCCTTATGTTTATCCTGATTGTTTCCTAAGGAGTTGGAGTCTAGAGTTGAGCTTCATAGTACAGGAAGGAGGTGAGCACTGGAGCTAATTCAATGCAGAAACATTTACTTTTACATCCACTTCCTATCTATCCTCAGTGCCTCCAGCACATGTTCGTTTCCTAAAATATGCATGAAATGGTTGGATGTAAGATTAAAGGAGGAGGGGAGCAAAGAAAGATGCCCACAAGAAATCAAACTTGGGGAAGAAGTTAAGGTCAGGAGCCTTTTGCACAGACCTAAGTTGGATAGACTGATCATCTGACTTTCTTGTACTGTCCTGTTCTTTGTTCCTAAAGAGAGCCATGTCCCCACATCCTGTTACAGGGTTCAGTATTGGAGTAAAACATAAGAAAGGATGATGTTGAAATGTGAAGATGGTGGGAAAGGTGAATCAGGAAGACTGATGAAAGGCAATAAGGAAAGCCCAGGTTTGTGAATTCTTGTCCAGCCAGCACCACTAATTTGCTGTAAGTTCTGTGGTGCTCCCCGGAGAGGGAACATGAAGATTTTATAAGGAGGCAAGTGATGCATAGCGGTGTGCTTGAGAATTCTTAGTGACGCTTTTTGGTGAGAAATGGAAGATGAGTCAGATAACACAGGAAATCAGTCATTCAGAAGGAGTGAGCAGAATGCAACTGCAGAAGGAGCTGGGGTCACGGTCTACCAGGAACCTGGCCGAGGGTTGTGAATCATTACCAAGTTGAGAGATTGGGCAATGCAGTCACCTTGAAGAAACTTCAAGGCATTAAATATTGTGAGGGTGTATTCCGTGCTGGTACATATGTGCGTCTCTCTGGAAAGATGTGTGGATGGATAATCGTGAAATTGAATAATGTCAGAAAATCCAGATTGGGGTTATTGTGAAGATGGGATGACAGATTACTGTAAACTCCTAGGCCCTGTTTTAAGAACATGAAATGTCATTTGTATGAATAAAAGCTTAATCGGGTGTCTTACATAAGATGCACTTTTGTAGGCATTACGCATTTAGGGACATCTTAAAAGTGTGGAAAGTGTGAAATAATTCTGTCTATAGATAACTATCCAAAACATTATCTATCTCAGATTTACTCCTGATAATAAAAGACCTAGGTGGCAGTGCAATGCCTCAATGTTATCTTTGAATAAATTTCTAAGAAAGAGTTGAAGGTAATTCCCAAGTTTAGGTTTGTTGCCTATTTTTGTTGGGGCTGGAGATTTTTCTACAAATAGAACAGAGCTCTTTCATTCTTTTTATTTCAGAAACCACTTCATCTTCTCCACTGCAGACAACAGAAACCCCGCCTATTACACCACAGGAAGCAAGTACGACCACCTCAGCATTGAACTCTTCTTGCCCAACAGGTAACTGCATTTTCTTTCCTGAAGACCTAGAGCATTCAAAATTTGAAAGTCATTGACATAGAGTTATGTGTACATATTTTGACATGAGTGCCGACACTGGCCCCTCAGCTATGTGACTAAAACAAATGTCTTACCCTCTCTGAATCTGTTTTCTTCATTTCTAAATGGATGGAACATCACTGATCATGCAGAATCCTTGTGAGGATTAAATGAGATGAAGAGCTTAGGACATAGGTATAGGGGGGTAAGTGATAGATACAATAGCAACTATGACTATTACGTAGATGTCCAGAGTACATACCGGTGGCACTTTTAACCTGGTTCCATGAATGGCCTCTGTGCTCCTAAAATTATAGGTAAAACTTTTTATGGAATACATATTTTTCTCATAAAGAAGAAAAAAGGGATCCATTTTCACAGGTTCCATGACAGAATTCTTAAGAATCACACCTTACAGGATAGATTAATAAATGCTAGTAACTTGGTTTAATTCTTATAATGCCTGTTCCATTTGGCCATATGTATATATTTCTTGACCATATTTTTTATTCATTGTTTCTTTTATCACCAGAAAGCAATGCAAATATATTTCATGTTTGTAGTAAAAATTCAGTATTTTTTATAATTCTAACCAATTTCCAATTTCTTGTTGAACAGATGGGAATAGCACCGTGACCCAGCCTTCAGATAGCGGTTGGCAATACAATGAAACTGTAAGCAAATTCCTTCCTATTTTATTAGCCATATTCTCTGCTATGTTCCCCTGGAAGCAAGTTATATTTAGAGATTACTTCTGTAAGGCTAGCCCAAAGATTAAAGTTCATATGGATACAGGTAGACCAGCTTGTTAGAGATGCCTGATAAGTGATGTTTTACTCATACATACACACAACACTCACACATCACAGACTTTCTCCTGGCCAAAAATTTGAACAAAAACGAATGAACTAATTCAAGGAGAGTGAGCTAACATACCATTCCCAGGAAGACTTCAGTTAACATTAAGGGAATAACATGCTGTGAGTCGCTATGGTGGCATGGAGGCTGTTCCAAACAATTATATTATGTAAGTGAAAATGTGCTTGCTTTGAAATATGCCCCCCAATATCCTTTTCGAACCTGAATGCCTTCCATATAGAAATTTTGAGGCCAATGCTGAGATTTTCTCTACCTGATGTAATAAGTTTCCCCATAGGATGACTTATTAAGGTGTTAATGTGTTAAACAACTTTGTGATTGAGTAAGTGACTAGGAAAGAGTCAGGATTCTGACTTCAGAGATTAAACTTTGATGCAGCTAGAAGCTTAATCCTTCTCACTGATCTTCCACTTGCTTTCTGTTAAAATATCTACCTTGTGGGATCTTTTTAGTATTAGAACTAAGCTATGGAAAGAGGCCTGGCATGATGCCTGGCATGTTTTAAGCTTATTCTAGGAGGGGGATACTTACAAACTGCACCAGGAGATTTAAGCAAAATTTGCATTTCCACCCAATTGCACAATTTAAGTTCATTGTTAATCAGGGTTATGTCTATGAGCAGCCACTTTCAGGCCCATTTCTATAGACATGGATAGAATTTTGAATTATGCTTAAAACATAAACACTGTATCAAAGGCCAAATTCAATAATTCAGCACATTCAGATAGCATCAACAAGTGAACTTATATATGAACAAAAATTGTTTCTTTCTTTTAATATAAGAGGATGAAGCTTATTGAAATTTTAAAGAACAATATGGATAATTTACATATAATAAAGAGCAGCCTTTGAACTACACTTTGAGCTTTGACAAGCACATGCACCCACAAAAATCTAACTCCAAGCATATATAAAATATTTCCACATCTCCAAATACATAATTGAATTTCTAATTGTCTGGGAATTTCACCGTGGTTAGGACCTCAGGAGATCATTTGGTTTTGCCCCTCATGATCTAGAAGTAGACTAGAGCCAATAAAGATAAATGTGTCTGAGTATGTTATTTGAAGAAATGTTTTCTGCCCATAATTCTAACAAGATGCTTTTTCAATCTGCTTATATTTCCTTAGCACACGAGCTTGAAACAAAATAAACAGAGGAACACCAGTAAATTGTACATTGGACTCTCCAGTGCTGCCATGATATTGCTCACCATTTTGGCTGCCATACTTACCAAAAGTAAGTCGTTTGACCATTGTGCCTGAGGGAACAAAGTGAGGGTTCTGGAGCCAAACTACCTGGGTCCAAGGAGCTTCACACACCATGTACTTTTGACATCACATAACTTCCCTGTTTCATAACTTTGTTCCTTTTGTTTCTTAAAAATATTGGCCTGTAAAAAAAAAATATTGGCCTGTAAAGAAAAAAGGCAATTTAAGTTCTCCATAGGAGAAACAAAACACTAAGAAATAAGAGTTTGTTGGGTGGAGTTGGGATTTGGAAGGCAACAAATCACTGTACTAAGATTTGTTCCCTCTTCCTCCTTCCTTCCCCTCAAGACCCCATTTTTGCTCCCATGAAGGATAATATTGTTGAGAGTCTTACAACACTCACTTAACTAAAGAGGCAAATGAGACATTGGAGGGGAAACAGATTTCAGGCCAAGGCTAGAATAACGGGTTTCAAAAACTAGCCATGCCAGACTCCATGAAAGAATGACAACTGTCCATTTCTTAAAATGAAATATAATCATTAATAACTATATTAAAGTAAGTTTGGGCATGTGTGTGAATACACTAAACCAGTGGTCGGCAAACTGCGGCTCGCGAGCCACATGCGGCTCTTTGGCCCTTTGAGTGTGGCTCTTCACAAATAC